GACTTATGTATGAATACATGATGGATTTAGGTTATGTAGTAGATCCGGTATAGGTGGGGAGGGATGGGAGGGATTTTGGGGGTGTGTGTTTTGTTTTGTGTTTTTGTAAGTCCGTTCTTTTTTGTGGTTTATGTTTTAAAAAAATTAAAATAAAAAGACCTTGATCAAAAAAAAAAACTGGAAACAAGTCATCTTTTGAAAATAAAAAAAAAAACTACAGAAATCAATCTACAGAAATCCTGCTGAAGTGATTCAGTGTGAGCTGCTCAAACAAACATGTATGCTRTTGTTTCTTTTACCTTATGGGGACATGGCCTCGGTGTGTTTTTTAAGCAGCGACATTCTTTAAATTTTAGTGCCGGAGGGGTCGGCCACACCTGCACGCATATAAACAAATTAACAAGTTTCCAATTGTTTTAAATTCTATTAAGCAAGAGTTCTGGTTGTGCAACATTATTTTTTAAAGGTTCTGAAAAACTCCTGACACACTTCACCTCACACAGTCCATGCTCATTCACCRCTCTCCAAGGTGACAACAAGACTCCCCGACACAGACAGCTGCTGAAACAATCCATCAGGTACGATTACAATTATTTATTTCATTTTTAGATTAATTAGAATGTCTATTTACTAAAATGTGCAGCTTTTTGGAATTATTAGACTGTAGGCCAGGAAATAAATCCACTTTTCTCAAACCAGGAAACTAGTTGAAAAAAATACTTTTTCTATTTGACTAAACAATTAAAACTCCATCTCCCTGTCAACAGCTGCTGATTACAAATGCACACTCAAGCAGTCTGTAAATTGATTTCTTTGGATTTAATAGATAATTAGTGAACTATAGTAGATTACCTAAAATCATCAAAATTAAGGCAGTTTCCAAAGAGAGTCTTAAAAAATCCATGGTACAYGACTCCTGTTTGTATCTTTCAAACTTTGGGTACAAAATGCCCAAAACTGCRGACATATAAAGTGCTGAAGGAACAAAGTAACCTGAGCTGTTTCCTGCTGGCTGTATGGAGGTCAAAATGTTTAGTGGGCGATTAAGAACGTTTTTTAAAATTTACATTAAAATCCCATTTTACGGTTTTGTTTCCAAAGATTAGTGTTTGTTTGGCAAATATTTTACTCTGATGCAAGTTACAGTATATATCAGGAGRTAACATGGGGTTAAGTATAACTTTTAAAGACTGAACAAAATGTTGGGTAGTGTCAAAAAAGAGAGACACTTTATTTTCTTTTGTTATTGTTTATCTGAAGTCATTACAGGCAATTTGATAAATGCGCTGCCCGATTCCGGCAGTGTGTCAGGTTTTTGTGATTTTTTTCATTTTTTCACTTGTTTTCATGCTTAGCCTCCCCTTAGCATTTTGAAAGTTATCTTAAGGTTTTATCTTGTTGGTTTTCTGCTTTGGTTAGAAAAATTGTTGCAAAATTGTGACTATGTCTACGAAGCTCCGCACTTTTTTWAAATGGTTTAATGGATGTCAACGGAACACTTGCTCCCTAATTTTCAGCCTTTAAAGATATCTAAATCCTTAATGGGGGGTCTGATTAAAAAAAAACTAAATAGTTTTGGAATTTGCAGAGCCTTATGAATACAAAAAGGAAAAGCAGCTCTAAAATAAGTTTGAAATTTTTATCAAAGTTCCTACCCACTGCATTCAGATTTGTCGTCATAATATCCACAAACTCTTGCCCTAAAAATTGGCCAATTTTTACAGGTACCCACCCACTTTCACAACAACAAGTTATTTATTTATATATTTTTCTTTTGAGTATTTTACTTACCAGATGTCACTGTAACATTTATTCATCTAATGTTCAAACTTGAAGTATAGTTTGTTTGCACTAGCGCCAACAAGACCTCATTGCTTTGCTTCTCCTGACAAACAGGWAAAGTTACTTCTAGAGTCACCTTGAGGTAAACTCAATGTGGCGCAACTCCTGACTGGAATTTTTACAAAACACTATACCATGATCCTTTTTTCCCCCAAAAAGTCAGAAGTAATTATTTCTGACTGGTAAATACCAAAACTCCCTGTAGACATACATAATATTTGTCTTTTCAGTGTTTTATATTATCCCATATTAACCAAATAAATGTTGCCAATGAACAGAGAAAGCCGTAGCAGCTCAGGTGGATTAAAAGCTACAGAACTTYTACAGAGAATAGAGCTAAAACACTTGTCAGAATCCTAAAAATCAAGAACACTGTTTTCTCTTTCTATGCACATAAAATGACTTTAAAAAGAAAACTTGTGCACACTATGACTTCTTCACACTTTACCTACATGTTTTTAGAACAATATGATGGATAGGAAATGAGAAATATCAAAGCTGATGCAAAATAATATAATATATAACATGTAGGGTTTTCTTTAGTGAAGTGTTATTTAGATGTGTGCTGGATGGTTGTGCAATCATGTTTACAGCCATTGCTGCTGTCACAGTTTGGTAATTATTCAACCTGACATACAAACAAATACACACTGGGATGGGACCGGACCGGACCAGACCAGACCAGACCCAGACTGACACATGTGGAGTACCAAACCAAAGATCAGATGAACCAACAGAGAATATAAAGACAAAATAATGAACCCGCTTAATCAACACCTGTGCAGGAACAACCAGGATCAGGTGTGGGTGGGCGGGGCAGATAGACATGAACAGGAAACAGAACCAATTAGAGCACAGTTGGAAAAAGCAGACGACAAAAACAAAAACCATTCAAACTATTTAAAACACTAATCTAATAAAAACAGATCTTGATAGTTAACATGGCTACACCGGTGACTTTAGGACTAGAATACGCTCGGTCATTGTTGCACAATGTTTTATTTGACACACATATTTAGACCAGATGTCTCTTTTTGTTCTCTCATTTAAAATGCAAGGTTCTAATTGTATTTTTTAAACAAACTTATAAAAATGATAACATTATTTTTTATTTTAGAGTTTCTGTTGAACAAAACACAAAATACCATTCATATTCTTTTCTTTCTTTCTTTCTTTCTTTCTTTCTTTCTTTCTTTCTTTCTTTCTTTCTTTCTTTCTTTCTTTCTTTCTTTCTTTCATTGTGCAAACGTAATTAGTATAAGACAATGCA